AATAGTTTGGCTCCCAAATTCCGAAAACCCGGAAGTAAATGTTCCAGTTTTCGAACGTTTTTCTGAAGTTCCTGCAACCAATCAGAAGCCCCACCTTGGTTGTCAAACATTTCGGAAGCCAAACGGGCTTCCGGAACAGATTGTGTTTGATGACCAAGGTTTGACTGTACTCAGTTTGTGGTGTTGTGAAGAAAGCGGGGTTTGTGGCACAAAATGGCACAAAACCAGCACACCATTGAGAGCTGCTCCACCCTTCCTTCAGCTGTAGCTGCTATGAGCACCCCTTTTCTTAAGAGGAACGCCTGGTTATTGTCTCAGCATTCCCGCACACAATTTATTTAGCCATATTAGAAACAGATGCGGCACAGCTTCATGGACTGAACATAGCTTTTGTATGACTCATACTTAGAGGTCAGAGGGAAGTCAAGGCTCAATTCATGCTGGTACAAATTCACAAACCAACTGCACATTACACACACACACACACACACTTACCCTATGCAACTGTACACCTTGGCTAGAGATGAAATAGGAACTGGTTTGAAAAGCAGCACATCAAAAAGCAGCATTTTAAAACAAAGTACAGGATACATGTGCATTTTGGATAAGTTGTATGAAACAGGGATTTTAAAACCCAGCATTAAGTGCACAGTAAATGAGAGCAGGCACACACATGCTGCGCTCACATTCGATGATACAGTACTGCTACCATATTTTGGGGAGAGTATTAACTGCTTCTTTTTTAACATTGTTTTATTTGTGTGGGAGTTTTGCCTGTTCTTCTAGGAGCATTTCCAAATTTTCTGAGCATTGCCAAATTTTTCTTAAGTGAAACGGGTATTTTGTGATGCCATGAGAGTTTCTGAAATTTCTAAATATACCCCCAGGCACACAAACATTATGGACCTTTGCTCTAGTAAGGAGTGGGGACCTTTGGCCCTCCAGAAGATACAAAGCTGTTGGTAATATAAATTTGTTTGCATGTGTGATAAGGGATCTAAGGTCTCAAATATAAAATTAATGTTCATAAAAGTACAAGGCAAACACATACATAAGCATATAAACCACGTGTCTGAAACAGTACTGGAGAACAATCCTGAGGCCATTTTGACTCCCAAATTGACCTCAAATATTTCTCTACAAGGAGGAAGGAAATGGGAAAAACATTCCAATTGTCTTTTGACTGCAGGGGCTTACACCTCCCTTTTCAAATGCAGTCTGGCAAGTATCTGTTAAACTAAACACACTATCAATATGCATAAGAGATTCAGGAACTAAGTATTTACCATCTCAAAAGAATGTCCAGGCTACCCAGAAAATGCAATCAAGTAAGGCATTATCAGGTATCCTGGCAGACAGGAGAGAAGCAACACTCTCAAATTTCTGCTGTAAGACCGCCTCCTTATGTGATATACAGTATGTATAATGTTTTTGGATGGTGGTCTTGGGCAATTTCAAAAGTCTTTATAAGGGCTTGCGCACCATTGTTCAAGGTTCTCCCTCCTGTGTGTGGTGAGTGGAGACCCTGTTTCAACAATTTATTTCTTTGAATAAAGATCAGGCTTACTAGCTGCTTTGCTTCTCTATATACTCTGGTTGGCCTCTGTTATTTTTCTCCTACCGATAGGGAACCCACTGAAGGACCCTATACGGGATCTGGAATACCCCATAAGGGAAAGGGAACAGTTTTTCATACAACACATGTTATTATCTGGCTGTCACTTTGCAAATGGAAGAGGTAGGGATAATCAAAGGGTGAATAAAAAACATGAGAGGAGGGAACGGGTTGATGGAAGGAGAAGAGCTAACAATTAATCAAGAAAAAATTTGTTACAAAAGCCCCTCTCTCCTCCAAACAGTGGCCAGAGCGCATGGGATCACAGGCACACATACAGGGTCTGTGTCCCTTTGGAGAATAGAAGACACGGCAAAGACTGTTGTGCCTTTAAGAAATAGGGTTTATTCGCCTATTTGCACCTTCAGTCTGCATGGAGGGAGTCCAGTTCTTACAGCATGGCTCATAGCAGTGCCAGGAACCTTTCATCTCTTCCTCCAAGATGGATCTCAGCCTTACTTACTTTATGTTCTTCCCAGAAACCCCTTGCGCCCGCCCCACCAGCAGTTACCCTGGCAACCTTCTAAATCCCCAGTCCCTGGTCATGCCTAGGGCCCTTGCCTTATTAACAACCTTTAATGGGCCCTCAATGGCTCCCTGTTGCTCCCTTAATAGCCCAAGCTTGATCAGGCTACCCAGGAATTCCTTTGCAGTTTACATTTCTCCCTTCCCACTCCAAATAATCACAATCCTAGAATTTATTAATTTCTATGTTTACCCTAAGTCTACAACAATAATTACATGGATAACTAGACGTTCAGAAGCTAGAGCACATGCTCCCACTCCCTTGCATTAAAAAGTCACAAAGTAGGTTAAAGGTTTGGTTTTGGTTTACTTAAACAGAAGACAGGAAGCGCCTGTTTGTTATGCTTTGTGTCTTGCTGCCTCAGAAAATGATACTATCTTTTTACTTGGCGCTCCACAGTTTTTCTTACAAATATTAATTACTACACAGCATATATTCTTTTCTGGCAGATTTCCTGCCTTTGATAGCTTATGACAAGCAGAATGGCAACAGGTGAAGTTCTTCTCATCACAGTATCTGCAGATGCTGGTCAGAACCTCACCTATTGATTTTCTGCCTGTCATAAAGTTGCTAAATGAAATGAAAATGTTGCAGCTCCGTATATGATGGAAGAGCAGCAGATGCAAAAGAAGACAGTGCTCTTCAACTTTTAATAGTTGTATAGAAGGGAGAATTTCATCAGGTGTATTTTTTCCTGCTGAAATTCCCTCTTCCTCACAAGTATTAAAGGTGCAAGAGCACTGCCCTCTTCTACATCTGGCCAGCATAAGGAGATACAGTGGTACCTCGGGTTAAGAACTTAATTCGTTCCGGAGGTCCGTTCTTAACCTGAAACTGTTCTTAACCTGAAGCACCACTTTAGCTAATGGGGCCTCCTGCTGCTGCCACGCCGCCAGAGCACGATTTCTGTTCTCACCCTGAAGCAAAGTTCTTAACCCAAGGTACTATTTCTGGGTTAGCGGAGTCTGTAACCTGAAACGTATGTAACCCGAGGTACCACTGTATCATCATGTACAATCCTATGTATATTCAGAAGTCCAACAATGTCCAATGAGGGTTACTCCCCCGTAAGTGTGAACAGGACAGCAGCATTAACACCCCAGGCCCAACCCAGACTCAGGTAACATCCACTGACTAGCATAGAGCTGCAAAAGTACTTACGTATATATTTTTTTAAAAAAAAACACCTAGCACACCACTTGCAATGAATCCCCACCTTTATTTACATGAAGATCACTTGGGTTCTCTTTATTCCTGTTCTCCGCTTACCAAGGAACCTGGGGGTTTTGCTCAAGGATGAAGACAGACCTAGGTAACAGTTGTTTTTTCTACTTCCAGAGACGGCAAATCAGCCTGCCTATGTTTCTAGTTCCCAGCAGGCCTTGGTGCAACCTGAAACCTGCATAGCACCCAACAAGACTCACTTGCATCCCTCCTACTTCCTCTCACACTGTCTTGACTCTTACCAGACACAGATGACTTTATCACCAGTCAATTTGCCTTTTCCCCACCCGCCCCCACATCACTTTCATTACCATCTAGCCTAAGATCCGAAGAACTCAAAAACTAGCACACTATTTTGTGATATTTTGATGGGCTTGTTTTAACAAATGTGGCACTGCCCTAATATGGATTTTGGAATCTTAACTATTTTGCCCACTAGAAAGAGATGGTTACCAACAAAGACTGGAGGAACAAGTAGTGATTTGCACACGTTAGTTATCGAAGACATGTTCTGACTAGCTCTCCTCGCAAGTGTCTCTGCGGTGTGAGTGGGAAGCAGAGAAAGGGCCGTCTCCTCTGCGGTGGCTCCCAAACAATAGAATGCCTTCCTTCAGAAGCTACCTCAGTACAGTCACCAACATTACTATACAGTGGTACCTCAGGTTAAGAACTTAATTCATTCTGGAGGTGCGTTCTTAACCTGAAACTGTTCTTAACCTGAGGTACCACTTTAGCTAATGGGGCCTCCCACTGCCGCCGCGCCGCTGGAGCACAATTTCTGTTCTCATCCTGAAGCAAAGTTCTTAACCCGAGGTACTATTTCTGGGTTAGCAGAGTCTGTAACCTGAAGCGTCTGTAACCTGAGGTACCACTGTATTTCTGGTGCCTGGTGAAGTATTTCCCCAAGCTTTAATTTATATATTAACATGCTGAAAGGGTAAGTGAATTGGTAGAACTGGAAGGGACTCCGAGGGTCATCTAGTCCAACCCCCTTCAATGTACAAAATCTCAACTTGTGGTCCTCCATCCAATTTGAAACCATATTGAACTCTGCTTAGCTTTACAAAAGTGATAGCAGTTATTTTTATTGCTGCCGAATTGCTATATTTTAGCATTACCTGTACTTATATATTTGCTGTTGTTTTCTTAAACTGTCCTAGCAGCTCTGCTGGAGGGTGGTTATACATTTTTCAAATAAATAACATATATGAGTGAACAGTTGTATAATTCACAATTTAAAAAAATAGATGGGTTGCAACTTCGATAAATTAGAAATGTATCAGAACACCAGTGCATTATCTAATGCTTGTATGCGTATATGGTCCTTAAGCTACAACAGCCATACTGTATTAATAACTTTTTTTAAGTAATGCTGATATATTTTAAAGTATACGCTTGCAAAAAGGAGAGAGCGCGCATACTTCCGGGACGGGGAGCGGGAGGATCCCTTCTCAAGTCAAGAGCGGGGCATGCCGCGTTACACAGAGGGCAAGCAGTTCACATATCCGCCTGCCCAAGTCCCCCAAATTTGGAGGTTCCTGCCTAAGTTTCGATTCCTTCAGTTTGCCCACTATTCCATGCTGGGAAACAGAGAGCGCATCCACGCCTCCCCGGGATAAAAGCCTGGCAGCTCCGCCTCCTCCCTCCGCCTGCCTTTCACTCCCCGGATCGCTGCCCCGCGAAGCAGTTCTTCTTGAGAGACCCGGTTGCAGGCGAGAAGATGGCAAGCGGCGCCCACTTCCCTCTGCCCGGCCAGGCCAGCGGCGGGCTGCCGCGCTACGAGGAGCTGAAGGACGAGCACGACATGGCCATCCTCGACCCCGCGGGCGCGTCGCCTGGCTCCACCGTGATCCACATGCACAACCAAAGCCAAGTCTGCGTGGCGCCTCCCCGCGACCATATCTTGTGGTCGATCTGCACCATGATGTACTGCAACTTCTGCTGCCTCGGGTTCATGGCCCTGGTCTTCTCGGTTAAGGTGAGAAGGGCAGGGTGGACGAGAGCTCCGCCGCCCATGGGACGCTCCCACCCCTTCCTGCTCCACGCTCCATTTTTCCCCCTCGTGGGTGGGGGAGGGGGCGTAAAGCCGGCGGGACGTGATCAGGACTTTTTTTAAAAAAAGTTTTGGGTGCTCAGAAGTCCCTCCAGCTATCCTAGGAGCCCTCTCCTATCCGTGTTTACTCGGAAATGAGCCCCGTTGACATCGATTGAACTTTTAAAAGTATCTGTAGGGTTGTTGCTTCGCTTGCTAGAGGGAGAAGGGGAGACATTAATCATGGCCTTTCATTGGCAAGAGGCAGGGGAATGACGGCATTGTTTCTTCTTTCCCAAGCTTTCAGAGCCGAGTTTTGGGTTTAGATTTAACCCATGGGGTAAAGAATAGCTTTAAACCGGGCCCACTTATGCCTTTGAACCAAAACTCAGCCCAGGCTACAAAGTCTGGCGGATCAAGCTAGGCTGTGACGCGTCCATGTGTCAGCTCTGTGTTGATGTATAAAGCTGGGGCGGGGGTCTTATTTCCTGCAAGGAAAGGGGCATGGGAGGGGAGGGAAACCTTTCCCCCAGTTGGCTCACTTCCAACACTGAAATTGCCTGGGAGGAAAGGTTTTTAAACAAGGGAGCACAGTGAGGAAAAACAGCATTTTGCCCACCCCCCTGCATCATCTTGTGCGTGTCTGCATGTGCAACACGTGGGGGGGGCGGGGAACACCCATCCATCTGGCTTTATGTATATAAAAATGGGCAACCTTAAGGGACTGATCAGGCAGCTGCAGCCTAGCAGTACCACAGCATCGCTCCGGTTTACATTCCAAACTCAGTGTCTGTGCCCTTGCCTTCCACTGGTGGTAGGGAGCCTCAGTCAGTAGAACATGAGACTCTTAATCTCAGGGCAAACGTTACGTTATTGGGCTAGATGACCCTCGGGTCAATTCTATGATTCTATGAATGTGGAGGGAAGTTGCTAGGGCAGGGCAAAAGCTAGCTGGTCTCTAGGAAACTTGGAATTCAGTTCTTAAATTTGCTGGTCACCTGCTCTGATTGTTCGGGCAGCCTCTTTCTCCACAGCCTAGCACTGAAAAACAAATATCTAAGACTATCTAAGCCCCTGAGGTAGGTGTTTTCTACACTTAAATAGTAGAAAACTTGGTTGTGCATGTAGCTTAACACAGAAGAGTCAATGACCAAAAACCAAGTCCATTTATCATCTGCAACACGGATTTTTCTTTTAGACTGCTTTGTGTGATTGCAACATCTGTGGGATTTCCCGCCTATCATCTTAACTTTAATATGCAAAAATAATGATCTGCAAGGGCAACAACAGACCAATAAGCCACATGACATGAGAGACATAACTAACAACTGGCATAGTGACATCCTTTCTGGTGTGTAAAGATCGGGTTCTTCTCATAATTTGGCTGCTGCTGATCAGATAATAAGATTGTATAAACCCAGAGGTGTGGGAGCAGCTCTGCACAAGCAGCTTATCTTCTAGCTTGATTTTAATCGCTGACTTTTGTTTCTTTCTTCTTTCTAAACAGGCAAGAGATCGCAAAGTGGTTGGTGACCACAGTGGAGCTCGCAGCTATGGTTCTACTGCCCAGTGCCTCAACATCACAGCTGTGACCCTGTGCATTGTGCCCATTGTCATTGTCATCATCCTGCTAGCAGCAGGGGTTTTCACTCCCCAATTTCATAATGGTTATTAGGAAGCCTATGGAGAACCATGTCACAGACGGGTTTCCCTTGTAAAACCACTCACTGCCTTTTCCCTTGCTGCCAAGGTTCCCACTCAAGTCACTTTGTTTGTGGGTAATGGTGATGTTTTGCTTTCCAATGACACGGGTGTGTAGCTGGTCAAAGAGCAGCCCTTATATTAAGAATATGGTACTTCCAGTGATGTCTCTCGAGTGCTTGCCAAGACGGAGCTGGATAAGCATCAATTTCAAGAGTTGCCATGCTGAGAATTGTGCATTAGAGGGATTCCCCCCCCCAAAAAAAAATCCACATGGCTCTAGTGCCTCTTCTCTCAAGTTATTTTCCTAGCATCCAGTTTTCTCTCTTGCTGGTACACATGGGGACCAAGTGACATGAAGATTCATCTCCTGTTCCTGATGCAAGGAAGACAAATTATCCAGTATTTACACCTACACACACTTCTTTGTAATAAGAGATGCTTGTAGAGTTTGGTTTTTGCAACACTATCACCATAATACATTTGCTTAAAAATATATTAAAAAACAAGCTTGTGGAGCTTTTGTTCTTGTACATGTTTATTAACAAAGAAGCTATGCACACCCCAAACAGAGGGGCTACAAAATGAGTTCCAGTTGTAAGGATAATAGTTTCCTAGGATGTGTTTACACTCCAAAGCCGTCCAAATAATGTTCTTTTGCCATGGTGACTATGGCTGTGCTGGTGTTACAGGGAAACAATTAAATGGTGCCTGTGACAAGAGTGCAAGCAGAGTTACAAGTCTTGCTGCAGTTATCTGCCATTTCTACCCCCAAAGACAAAGGCTGCATTCATCCTCTCGGTGCTTGGCTACCTGCTTCTAATTACAGTGGTACCTCTGGTTACATACGCTTCAGGTTACAGACTTTGCTTCAGGATAAGAACAGAAATTGTGCTCCGGCAGCAGGAGGCCCCATTAGCTAAAGTGGTGCTTTAGGTTAAGAACAGTTTCAGAATAAGAACGGACCTCCGGAACGAATTAAGTACTTAACCCGAGATACCACTAAAAACAAACTTTAGCTATCACAAAGAGGCAGGTCTAGCCTTCTTCCCAGCCATGTGACAATAGATGCCCAATTGTACAATTAAAAAAATCGAAGTATTCTTAAATTGGAAAAAGCACAGCATCTAGAGTCCTAGTTGTAGGTGAGTGGGAGACTGGACTGAGTAAAGATGTAAGGAGATTCAGTGATGAGTTGTAGTAGGTTTCATGATGCTATATTAAACCAATTACTGGGGAGGGTGTCTCACTGGAGGTCTTTCAGATAGAGGCTGGACAGACAGGTCGGGTGCGGGGGGGGGGGGGAATCTAGCTCTGCATTAGGCAAGGAACTTGATCTGGCAGTGCATGGGATTTTGGCACCTGAGGCAAACCACAAAATAAAGTGACCCACCCACCTGCACCCCAGCCAGGGAAGAAAGAGTAAGTGAAGTTCTACATTGGGAAGGGTGGGGGAATCAAACCAACCTTACTGATGTGGAAATCAAAGTGGTGAAGGGCCCCCACTCTGAATCGTGCTGGGCAGATGCAAAGCCCAGGAAACCCCAGAGGGCAACCCTCACCATTTCCTCCCTAGGGGTGCAAGTTGACCAGCAGTGCCTCCTATTTGCTTAGAGGCTGAATTGCAGCAGGAGGGGGTGGAGTGGCCACCAAAGAGGCAGCAGATCTGGCCTCCAAGGAGTGTATACCAGCAGTGAACAATACATTCCTTAGATGCTGGATCTGTGGATCCTGCCACCTGAGGTGGTTGCCTCACCTTGCCTCATGGGTGGGCTGGCCCTGTTAAGAGGCATTTAAAATTATGTATGGTGTGGATTGATACCTCCCCAACCCCCTGCTTTGCTCATAACACCAGAACCTAGCTCACCAGGTGAACCTAAATGGTGGGAGATTTAGGACAAACAAAAGGAAATACAGTTTTGCATAAAGTATGTTAATTTAATGAATTTGCTGCTACAGATGATGTCCAAGAAGTGGAGACTGGACATATAGCCTTATCCTCTGTCAGTTTCTCTTAAGATCTTTTAAAGTTGGTAGCCATCACTAGATCCCATGGGACACAATTGCACTTGTGACCAAAACTGACTTTCAAGCACATATGAAGCATATTTTCCCTGAAAGAATTCTGGGCATTGTAGTTAAAGGTTGATGCGATTTGTGAATTGCAGTGCCCAAAATTATTGGGGGGGATGTGCTTCAAAGGTGCTCTTAAAATGGGAGAAAATGTATTAAGGGGTGACTTCAATTACTCCACATAGGCAGGGTAAAAGCATATTCTCATGAAGTATAGAAGAAAGAGGTAGGGTGTCAAATATATGGATTAAGACAGATGCTTTTTAACTTGTTCATAAATGATCTGATGTTATGGCAGGTTAAGCAGTGAAGTGGCCCAATTCACCCATGGCAATTAGGGTCATAAAAACTGAAGCAGACTGGAGCGTGTCAAAATCTCTCTCCAAACCGGATTAAGGGGGCTAAAAAACGACACAGCGTTCAGTGTAAGTACGTGTAAATGATGCAATCCTTATTTGCAAATATTTACAGAACTTTTTGGCTCTTGAGGAGATGCAGGGCAAAGTAATGACCTTGTACTTTGTGACTGAACAAATGTAGAATGAGGGGCGCTTTCCCCTATCAGCAAACATCTATATTATAAACTGTCCCATGATCCTCAGATGAAGGGAAGTATAGAAATTTAATTAATAATATAAACAGCATCAACTTTTCAATTGCAGTGGTATCTCAGGTTACAGACGCTTCAGGTTAGACGCTTCAGGGTACAGACTCCACTAACCCAGAAATAGTACCTCAGGTTAAGAACTTTGCTTCAGGATGAGAACAGAAATCGCAAAGCGGCAGTGGGAGGCCCCATTAGCTAAAGTAGTACCTTAGGTTAAGAACAGTTTCAGGTTAAGAATGGACCTCCAGAACGAATTAAGTTCTTAACCCGAGGTACCACTGTAAATGAAACCATATTACACACAAAGCAAACAAAATGCTTTGTGCTAAATAGCACAAGGAAGAAATAGAACCATGTGGGGACCATGGAAACAACCACAATGTTGGATAGGAGTCTCTCACTCGCACCCCAAAACCACTTTCTGAACTACCCTCTGCACTGAGGGCTGGAACCATAGCAAAAAAACGCACTCCTCAGTAGTTCGGAAGGTCATCAGGGTTGATAGTGCAGAAAAGTGGCAATAAGTTCAACACAATCAATATGGCTGCATTTCCCTTGGTTCAGTTCCCAGTGTGCATTGTCACCAAGGTAACCCAAGCGGTAATGCTCATGACTGAGAAAAAGTCTGGCAATGAGACATGTTGAAGAACCTTGACCAAGAATGGAAAGTGGAGACTTTGCTAGATTCAACATGGTGGGATTCTGAGAGAGCTTCTTTAAGAGAAGTATTACTATTGCTGCCTAAGTAGCTGGAATAATGCCCCCATCACCCACTCAACCAAGCCAAATTTATTGTGGGTTTCCCAGGGGCATTTGGTTGGCCACTGTGGTGAACAAGATCCTGGACTAGATTGGACCAGCAGATCTCTCACATTGTTAACTACACGCTGTGATAATCATGGCAGCCCTGTGGTGTGTTGTCACTCTCAAAAATATGCAGCACAACTTATTCTGGGTCCTGATGTGTGATGCTGGTAGTAAAGCAGCAAACTTTGCTAAATAGGGGTTGGGAGGACATATTTTGACACCCTTTAAATTGGTTCGTACATGCTGCTCATCACCTGATGACTGCAGCATGAAGCAGTCAGTTGGGTCTGTGAATAAGTCATTGCAGATCAGAGAAAAGAAAATACACAACACCTCAGGCACAAGGCCTTTCAGTGGAACCCATTCACACATTCATCTGTGAGTCATCAAGAACTGCTGTGTAACGAAGTGATAAACAATCAAATTATATCCATACATATGTAAGCTGGATCATAACGAGCAATCAGTTATATTCTCCTGGCTACATGGCAATAGCTTTAGTTATCAAATCACTGTTTGCAACTGAGCCATTGATAGGAGATATTTTCATTTCCCCCGTTTTCCAAAACAGTCCTTATTCCAGAACAAAATAACTTCACAGACTGAAAGGTGAGGGAGAATAATCACTTCCTTTCCATGTCTGTCAACTTCAATGGAAAATACTCAGTACTCACTAGCACAAATTATGTTAACTTTTGATATGGCAACTCAGTATCAGAGGGTGGGGGAGTCTACAAAGAAAAGCCTTTTGCTAGCCTGACCTGAAGGACAGAAGAGAATGTAGAGAAGCACAGCCAAATGTAGCCCACCAGCTATGAATGGGGAGGGTGCCCATTTTGATGCTTTTTTAGGATGGCAAAAATAAGACTTGGGTGCTGAACACCTGGCACGCCACAATATGTTACCTTGTTTGCTTGGTGCACCATAACTTATGCAGGCATGGGTTAAACTTATTTGTAGTAACAACTGAATAGCTGAATAACTGAGGGAGAGGGAGAGGTTGGGTGAACAGCCAATTTTTTCGGAGAAAAGCTGGAATTAATTACACATAAATCCTTATCTGTATAGTCATGGCTGGTTCCTTTGCTTTTGAGCTTTGGGAGTTGCAGGAGTCATCAGACGGCCAAATCTTTGATCAACAACTTTTCTGTCCGATTTTCTCTGCTCTGTTTAAAATATGGCAACCCTAGCTATCTATAAGATTTGGGTATTTTCCACCTATGCCCTCATCTGGTTAGGTGAAGTGATGGCCAAAGTGATGATGTTGCATGGTGTACGAAGAATGTATGAATGCTTGCTTGGACTTCAAACCATAATACTAGTAACTTCAGTAACTAGTAACTAATAATTTATTTAAAAAGTTATCCAATTAAAAGGTATCTGGAAAGCTAGTCAGGCTTTCCTTTTAGAAATGTGTTCCAAAGTGGAGTCTTGTATATTCTGTTATATTTTACTCCAGGAAGACCCATTTATCCTAAATAGAACCCAGTAAGACCAACATGTATATAGAAAATATTTTTTTAGAATGTGATCCCATTGAGATCCCAAGATTAAATTTTGCAGGAAGCTCTTAGAAATATGAAATAATCAATACATTCTGGGGGGAAATTTAAACATATTAATTTTTAATCACTTTTATAATTTTTAAATTATGCATATTAACTTTAAAGTAAATCCATCGTGTGCCATATCATATTAAAGCTCATGAAGTTCTGAAGAGATTGGTATTTTTAATTTTGAAATATCTCAATTCTGGGCTGAGCTTTTAAGGTTTTTGTGTAGTCTGGCAAGGCCAAAATTGTCAATTAAAAAAAGAAATCAAACCCTCATAACTCAAAAACAATATGAGATTTTTAAAAAATTCAGATTCAGACTTGCTTCTGATCATTCAACAAGTGTACAAAATTTTAAGAAAATTGAACCACTTGATATGGAATGACCTACTTGGTACCCCTGGAATCTCACACTCCTTGAGAATTGGGTAGTGTGTAACAATATATTGCCTAACCAAAAAGTTGACATCCCAAGAAAA